CCTCACACCCAGACAACCCGTCCCCCCCCCCAAACCAGAATTTTATTGCAGATTCGGGGTCCTTTCGCCGACCACAGGAGGACCCCACCTTCAAAAAAAATATATATATATATATATCGTCAATATATATATATATTTCCGGGCTGGTTTTTTGCCCGCCCGGTTTGCCCGGGCCACCCACCCGGGCACCGCCGCCCGGCCGGGCGGCGTCCGTACTCAGATTTTATCTTATTTTATCTGATCTGCAATAACTCAGCCCAAATCTGCAAAGCCACGGGATACAGGTCGTCACTGTTGGTCAAAGGCCTGAAATGGGGGTCAAGAGTCAAGCCCCAAGTCTGTGAAACGCCTGGGCAAAGGCCTAAGGTCAAGGGGTACCCAGGGAAGGGCCAAAAACAGCATCCAGAGGCCTCACGTGCAGTAGTTGACTCTTGGAAAATCAAGAGTCAGACAAAGCACGGAAGAGACAGGCCCAAAGTCGAAGTCAACCTGCTGGTCAGCCATGGCCATCCATCAAAATGCACATCATTGGTTGTCTGCAGGTATCTGGAAGATTCGAGTTCCGACTGAGAAAAGGTACCGCTGCTTCAAGGCTGCATCCAGGCCGTCGAGATCAAGAAATGCGGAGCGTCGGCACTGTCAAAGGGGAGACTGGTCCACACCAGTCAACACCAGCCAGCACTACAAAAGGATAGTCAGACACTGGAGAAGGCATTCTGCCTTGCGCTGGCTTGATGCTAGTGTTGTGTCACGAGGCTGCTGGATCTGGATGCTGGCACCAGATGCTGGAAGTAGGCGCCAGCCTGGAGGGAGATTATGTTGGCGCGGCCATAGCCACGTAGATGTAGACTAGGTGATGAGTATTAGCGAGGAGGACGATCAGGGCTGTGAGACTGAGAGGAGATGTGGGGAAGCTTACCTGGACTTACCTGGTAACAACACGTGTGATCTGCTGCTGTGTCCACAAAGGTAAAGAAGTGCTGCGCCATCCTTCATATCTGATCGCTGACGTTGAGGGAGGATGGGCGCCCTGTTATGATCTGCACAGTACTTATGTCAGAGGATGTCAGAGGGACCATGCATTGTTGAGGTGGCGATGAGGAGAAGCCCGAAGTGGAAGTGGGAGAGAAAGAGACCTACATGTACTATTGATTATCATCGTGACTCTCCTCCTCCGCTTCTGTCTTTCTCTCCTCTCTCTCTCCTCTCATGCTCTTCTTGGATGAGACGACACTGTTGAGTTGAGCAAATGATTGAGACATGGACATGTAATGGATGTTGGAGACGTCATGAGCTGCGCTGGGTTCAGACTTCTATTGCATTATTGACTGGCTCTCAACGAGACTGGGTTCATTACAGATCTTTTTAATGTAATCTTATCTAATTTTATTTGTTTGTCTGTCCGTCCGACCGACCGACCCATCCGTCCGTCCCGTCAAGCCAACCCCTCCATCTATCTAATCTAATCTATATCTAATCTAATCTTAATCTCATCTTAATCCAATCTTAATCCGATCTTAGAGAGAGAGAGAGAGAGAACACACATACATACACAAAGAGAGAGAGAGAGAGAACACAATCTCTTAATCCAATCTTAATCCTATCTCAATCCAATCTTAATCCAATGTAATCTTATCTTTATCCTATCTTTATCCAATCTTCCAATCTTCATCCAATCTTCATCCAATCTTCATCCAATCTTCATCCCATCTTCATCCCATCTTATCCGATCCGATCTCATCCAATCTGCTCTGATCCGATCCTATCCAATCCGATCCGATACCGAGCCTTAGTTTAGCTTAGCTAAGTCAATCCTTAGCTTAGCTTCACTGGGCTTCGCTTACCTTCACTGGGCTTCACTTACGTTACCTTGGGTGGGCTGGGCTGGGCAGGGCAGGGCGGGGCGGGGCAGGGCGGACTGGGGTGGGCCGGGTCGGGTCAGGTGGGGCCAGGCAGGGCCGGGCGAGGAGGGGCGTGGTTTGGCTTGGCCTGGCTTGGCTTGGCTTGGCTTGGCTTGGCCGGGCTTGGCTTGGCTGGGTTTGGCTTGGCCGGGCTTGGCTTGGCCGGACTTGGCGGAGCTTGGCTTGCCCGGGTTTGGCTTGTCAGGGCTTGGCTTGGCCGGGCTGGGCTTGGCCGGGCCTGGCTTGGCTTGACTTAGCTTGGCTTGGCTTAGCTTGGCTTGGCTTAGCTTGGCTTGGCTTAGCTTGGCTTGGCTCTTCTCTTCTCTTCTGATCTCTTCTGATCTGCTCGGCTCTGCTCTGCACTTCTCTTCTCATCTCTTTTCTGCTCTCTGCCGAGGCCTCGAAGCCTTGCATGTATTTAACAAAGGTGTTGGAATCTGCCCGCACTGATGTGGGACCTGTGAGAACCATAAACCGTGTTCCCTTTGTGGCTTGGTTCTGTTTTTCATTGATCAGATTCTGGCCAGTCTACAGATGACGCTTCTTCTGCATTCTGCCTCTCCCTCCCCCTTCCCTATCATACCCATGTTGCACCGCGGGTGTAGCCGTGGCCGATCCACTTAAAAGTTTGAAGGAGTCTTGTTGATGGCCGAGGTATGGGGACAGATGCTGTATACAATCAGTGATGATCGGAACAACATCAGTGCAATTACAAAGCGACTGGGGGGGGTCCTAGTGGACGTTGAAGGTAGAGGGGTGGATGGTGGCCGTTCATCTACTGAAAAAAGGCTAGAACCTCTAGGTTGCAATTAGAACAACACCCGTCCATAAAGGGAACCACAACTACAACAATCAATAATAGCTGTGCTAAGTGGGTATACCCAGGTCGGTCACAGGATGTCATGGGTGAGACATTGACTGGGGGGAGCATTAGGCACTGCTTGTGATATTGACTAGATTCATACACTGGAGAGCCCGGGTAAGTTCGGGGGCACACTCCCACCTAGCATGGAAGTACGTGTACGACAGGGATCATCCGACTATGCTTCAATCAGGGCTGAGCAGGGGGTACAACCACTGTCCTGTCAGGTCACCCCTGCCAAGATGGTAGAAGGGTAATAGTGCTGAGTGGTAGACACTGAGGTAGGACTGGGGAAGCAGGGGTGTGCCAGGGAGAATTGACTAGAGAGGAAGGTTGTTGGGAGGGAGTCTCATAAGGGGTAGGATCCAAAAGAAAAAAGAAAAATGAAGAATAAGAACAGGATGGAGACTCAGCTATAAGGCGGTAGTTCATGAAAAAAGGAAAAGCAGAAGAGGAAATGAAACAGAGGAGATTCCAGACGAGAGAAGAGACGAGATGGAGAAGAGGAGAGGAATGGGAGAGTCCATCATCAACTACATGGTGTGGAGAAAACTAGGGTATTCACCCTAATAGAATGTATCGTCATTATGCCTGTACTTGGGGACAATTTCAGTCTAGATACAGGGATAATAACTGTATTTATATTCAGGGTATGACAGTAGCATTCATTATTCATATTTATTCATAAGAATCATAACCAAGATTACCTCAGGTGCAGTGCAATGAAAGACGGTCCCAGTGATCTGAGCCTTCTCACAAGCAACCTGCCGAATTCCTGTAGTCTTGCTGTGTACCGCAGAGCTCGATAGTTTGCCCGGCATTGCAAGTATCGGATCTCCAATGGCACCCGGTTGCTGAGTCGAAAGTCAAACTTCTGGAGAACCACCACCTGAAAATATCATCACAGCGAGGAGTAAGAGATTTGAAATAAAAGTCAATCAACTGGCTCAAACTGCCACAACGTCAAAACGCAGGCCAGCATGCAATTACAAATATATTGGTCGCTAAAATATCGCTCCAGCAATCTGTCCCCAATAGTCCCTGCCTTGTGCTTTCTATGCAGCATAAGCTTCTCTCATGCATATGGAGAATGATGAGTTAATGATGAATTAGTGTAACTTACTGATGAGGTTGCTTTTTTTTTTTTTGAAAGAGTTGTAGTGAACCCAACTTCAGAAGCATACGATCAAATCTCGTATGAACACAACTGCTCAACTCAATGATAACAAGCAATTTGAGACAGCATAGAAACATAAGATGATGTGAAAAGATCAAAAGCATGGTGTAATCTCAAGATGTATAAACAATGAATACAATGTTTTAAAAAAAAACTTGTTCCTCTTCTTGCACGGGAATCCTTCTGACCACCTCAGTGCACCCAATGGCTTGTATCTTTCGGCTCCTTCAGCACCAGTCTGAACACAATGTCACTTGCCAAGTCAACCTCTCTACAGCGCTGGCTATCCCAGGCTAGCTCAATGAAGCTGGAACTGGAAATGACGATGTCAATCTTTTGCAGCAGCATGGAGTCTTGATTCTCCCAAGCACAACCACATTGTCTCCCTGAAGCTATAGTGGCCTCTCTCATTCCCTGACCTCACTAGCACATCTAGTGACCTTCTCTCTCATTCCCTGACCTCAGTGCCACACTCTCTGTATAGCACAAGCACCAACAAGGTCCCCCCTCCTCCTGGAGCCTTCTTCCTCAGGTAGCTATGGCCACCAGTCAATGGGTAGGCTTCCTACACCTTCTTGCCAACCCTTGTGCAATGGTTGCCTCCTCCTTCCATATCTCCACCCCTGATCCTCCTCTTTATGGTGCTAGACAAGCTCTATAGTCCACAACACCGATGGCTAGGTTTCCTACACCTTCTTGCCAACCCTTGGATGAAGGATGTGGAGCACATGCAACCACTGGTCTTCTCTGCAGCAGCTATGGCTGAACACTCGACACCATAGCTACGATCCGCACACCCGGACAGGGATCCGGACTGACCGGAGTCCGGCGTCCGGTCCAGGTTTCCAGATCCCGGTCCGGATGGTCGGAAAATAGGGGGTAGTCTTTTTTTTTTTTGGGCGGCACAAGTCGTTTTCTTCCGTTCTGGGCAGCTGTGGAAAAATACAGGGCAATTTTTCAGGTGTGCTGCCTGTCGTCCGGACAGGGCTGGAAGGCGGCACCAAGTTTTCTTTTCCCGCCTCCCAGTCCAGTCGTTTCAAAGGAAACAAACCTCTTTTTGGTTGCAGAAGGCCGTTACTGTGCACTTTCAGGTGCACCCGCATCATCCCAGGATAGGACGCTGAGTACGTTGCCCTCCAAAACAAGGACTGTCTGAAAAGAAAACGAAAAACGAAGTCCTATCGGGAACCAAAAAAAAAAGAAAACGAAGTCCTATTTTCATCAAGAAAACAGCACCCGTCAGAACGGGCGCCTGCATTGACTGTGGGGGCTCGCTCCACTACTCTCCAAACGTGGAGAACGAATCTTCCGCTAGAACATGGAAAGAATCCGAAAGATAGATGGCCATATGTTTTGTCTTTTGTGCATGTGGTGAGCAGCGGAGCCAGGCCATATGGCCACCCTCCCTTGTACGTGCAAAGGATACCAAAATCTTTTCGGTCTTTTTTTTTTCTTTTTTTTGTTTTTGGTAGAACAGGGAGATTGTCCGTTCAATTTACCTGTATCTTCCCAGAACTTGAGGCGTTGTACATTCCTGACAAAAGCAAACAAGAACAACAACAAAAAAAAAAGGAGAGCGGATTACCCCATTTTTGGAAAAAGAACAGCCCCCCAGAAGAAGAGGCGCCTGCATCGTCTCCACCTGTTTCTCTTAGCCCGCCACTTGGCGGGGCCCACTTGTTCTATTTCTCGTTTTGTCTGGTGGCCGTTGGGAGAAAGCCAACAGCCACAAATTTCACGAGTGCTGCCCTAATTATGGGCATCGCTGCACTGCACAGCACTCTACACGCATTTGGCTGCTTTCTGGACCAGCTGCATTCCAACGAGTCCAACATTTTGAATGTGCTGGGTGGAGAAAGCATCTAAATGCATGTAGAGTGCTGTGTAGTGCACCGAGGCCCTATGCCACTTCGGGACATCCGTCAAAATTGGGACAACGATAAGAGTTTTTATTTTTTGGGGGGGGATACAGAGAAGATTAGCATGGCCCCTGTGCAAGTCGTAAAAGTGAAAGAAAGCCCCACGGCATATTCAGCCGTTTCTGGTACAACCATGAACTGTCTCTATGCACACCTGATAGAGCATTCCCCCCCCCCCCCCCCCCGCACCCCCCACCCGTCCCCAGGAAAATATTGCAATCCGGACAGCAATCCGGACAGGGCATCCGGACATGTCAACTCTTTCTGCAGCTCATCCACCACGAAATTGTTCATGGACGACTGCTCTCCAGCCGATGGAGGTCCTGGAGGTCGAGTGGCAGCTAGAACGGGACCCCGCAGGTGCTCAGCAATCTCTGATTGGAGTTCAGGGCCCCTGGAAGCCGGAGCGGCCATGTCGGCAAAAGATGTCGACTCAAAACCAACACCACTGCCTTCTCCCGCCGTTGCTCACGCCTGCAATCTCCCCCTGCCGACGATGTACTGGGCTCCGCTGATGCACCCGCTTGATCACCTGAAGCAAGATCCTCTGGATCCTCCGCGACCGGCGGACGGCCCTGTTCCTTGTAGTACTCGTTCAATTTTCCAACGATTGCAGGGGGGATTGGCACCTTCGGGTGGTTCCTCCGGATAAAAGCAAGAATATCCCCAGTGGTACGTGGACAGTGGGCAGTGGGCGACGGTTAAGTGTGGTGGTTCACCACTTTGCTAAGCGTGCCGATGAACTTTTTGTTGCACAGCCTGCAACGCAACCTCCACGAGCCATGCGACGTGCCGCTCATCATCCTCTGCCCTCAATCCGCCCATCTCCAAATCTCCGACAGGCTGAGCTTCATTAGTCTCAGGTTCAAATGGTCCTCGATTCCTCGCCATGGTCGTCGCAGTGGAGGTACTAGGTGGTTGGTAGGAAGAAGAAGAAGAAGAAGAAGAAGAAGAAGAAGGGGTGGGAGGTGTCTGCCCGCTGCCCGATGATTTCTCAAATATAAAAAAAAAAACAAAAAAGTGGAGGTGAGTGATGGTATGAGGAAGAAGAAGAAGAACAAGAAGAAGTAAAAGATGGTGAAGAAGAAGAAGACATGGAAGAAGATGGAGAGAAGATGGACAAGAAGAAGAAGAAGAAGAAGAAGAAGAAGAAGAAGAAGAAGAAGAAGAAGAAGAAGGGGTGGGAGGTGTTCGCCCACTGCCCGACGATTTTCCGAATATATATATATTTTTTTAAGTGGAGGTGGGTGATGGAAGGAGGAGGAAGAAGAAGAAGAAGAAGACGAAGACAAAGACGAAGACGAAGAAGTATAAGATGGTGAAGAAGAAGAAGAAGTGGAAGAAGATGGAGAGAAGACGGAGAAGAAGAAGAAGAAGAAGAAAGAGAAAAAGGGGTGGGAGGTGTGTGCCCACTGCCCGACGATTTTCCGAATATTCAAAAAAAAAAGGTGGAGGTGGGTGAAGAAGAAGAAGGAGAAGAAGAACTAAAAGATGGTGAAGAAGAAGAAGAAGTGGAAGAAGAAGAAGAAGAAGAAAGAGAAAAAGGGGTGGGAGGTGTGTGCCCACTGCCCGACGATTTTCCGAATATTCAAAAAAAAAAGGTGGAGGTGGGTGAAGAAGAAGAAGGAGAAGAAGAACTAAAAGATGGTGAAGAAGAAGAAGAAGTGGAAGAAGAAGAAGAAGTGGAAGAAGATGGAGAGAAGATGGAGAGAAGATGGAGAAGAAGAAGAAGAAGATGGAAGAAGAAGAAGAGGAGGAGGAGGAAGAAGAAGAAGAAGAAGAAGAAGAAGAAGAAGAAGAAGAAGAAGAAGAAGAAGAAGAAGGGGTGCGAGGCGTGTGCCCACTGCCCGACGATTTTCCTAATATTAAAAAAAAAAAAGTGGAGGTGGGTGATGGAAGGAAGAAGAAGAAGAAGAAGAAGAAGAAGAAGAAGAAGAAGAAGAAGAAGTGGGGATGACAATGCATGAGGGAAGAAGAAGAAGAAGAAGAAGAAGAAGAAGAAGAAGAAGAAGAAGAAGAAACAAAAAATTAGGGCATTTTTGTTTTTGTTTTTTGAAGAGGAAATAAATCATTATGGCAAAGGCCAGGCAAACAATTTTTTTAAAAGAAGAAGAAGAAGAAGACACATGATACACCTCTCCACTACAATCCTCTTTGCGGATGACTTAACGGTTCTCATAAGAACATCCAACTCCTCGTTTCAGGCACTCACAAGGGCAATGGAGGCTTTCCAACTTGCGTCAGCAATGAAGGTTAATTGGCAGAAAACAATGGGGTGGTGGTTGACAGAACAATACCAAGAACACACGTTTCCAACCAATAATCCGGATGGCTTCCAGTGGTTGACAGCACAGACCCCTATCAGATACCTGGGCATTAAAATAATGCATCACTCCATGGCAGCGGACCTAATGTCCAAAATATTGGTAAAACTAGGGGCCTGCTCAGCAGTATACACGTCAATATATGGAAGGGCACTTATACTAAATGCTTCAATTTTCTCAATGCTATGCTATGCCGGGTCCATCTGGTCTCCACCAAAAGCTTCCGCAGTTCTGTTGAGAAGAAGAGCTGTGGCGTACCTATGGACTGCCAAAGGGAACAGTGACTGCTTTATTTCTAAAGTATCATGGAAACAGGTAACTAGACCCAAGCAGCAAGGGGGCCTAGGCGTGTTAGACCCGGATATCCAGCTGAAAGCACTTCAGACCAAATGGGTGGCCAAACTAATCTCTCAACCAAGGTTATCATGGACACCGCTGGTAATGGACAGGACTCGACAAATGGCTAAGTACAAAACGCCAGGGAATATGTCAGGCCAGTTCTGGGTTATGTGTGGTAATTGGGCAAAGGTAGGCACTAGGGAATTTCAACAACGCTGGATCTCTGAGATGAAATTATTGAATCCTAAATTTTCGGAACAGATTGACTTGATATTGCAATCAAAACAAAAACTCAGAGAATGATATAGTCCATTTTTGATTTAAATTCAAAATGACCCTGGTAGTCCATGCCGTAAACGATGAGTGTTGGTCCTTGGTCTACGCCCGGTGGTTTTGGGTGGAACACTTTGCATCAACCTTCTAGTATTAGCCAATTTGGTACATCAATACATCTTTCTATGCTGATATCCATCTTTCTGATGTTTACTAGCTTTTTGTTGTTAACTTTGATTTTTCTTCTGATAGAAACACGACAGTTTATCCTATCTTTTTATAGTTATTCAATCAAAAACCGGTTGAGTCATTGTAATTTTAAGAGAATTCCCGCTAAGATAACAGATCCAGCGGTGGGTGCTTCTACATGAGCTTCAGGTAACCAAATATGAACTGGTACCATAGGTACTTTCACTGCAAAAGATGCAAAAAAAGCAATCCATAGCAATATTTGACGTCGTTCGCTAAATTCTGTTGTTAATAAGATTTGTAAATCAGTGTTGTTATGAGTCAGAGCCAGTGAGATTACTTCATCTGCCCTTGATTACTGGTTCCGGGTCCTTTGTTTTCAGTAACATCTTGTAGTCCAGTTTCACTGTGTATTCAGAAATTGGAATAGGTGGTTTGCTGGTCCTGCCCCTCCGTGGGAGCCAGGCCCATTCTTGCGGGTCGGATTCTAGAACTGAAAAACATACCTTTTCTAAAACAAAGAACATACCTTTTTTAAAAACACAAAAGCATACCTTTTTTTAAAGACAAAAACATACTGTTGTGAGGCTCCAGGCTTCCGCGGGCAGTATTGGCCGCTCGACAGCTTCCCTGACTAGAGGCGGGCCTGTGAAATTCACCCGGGCCCTAAGTGAATGCCAGCGAGGGGCCCAGGTTGATCGGCACGAGCTTACCTCTGGAACTTATCAGTTGGTCCAGCCCACGGGTTAGTCACAGAGGCTGGGACCTGCACGCTGACCCAGTAAGCCTGAGGCAGTGGCTACTGGGACATGGCTGAGCCTGGACACAGCCTCCTCTCCAGCACAAAAATATGGAGGCTGCGCTGTAGTGAACATTCGGTCAGGAAAGTTGCAAGTGTGCTGCACTGGAGGAGGGATGCAGCGCCTGAGGAAGGAAGAAGGGCAGCTGTGGTGGCTGTAGTGAGCTCCATGGCTGGGCACAGGAATTCTGAGTGGCGAATCGTGTGGAGGTCGTGGAAGAAGGAAGGCAGTGGAGATTGGCGGTTCTCCCTCGTGTTCGTGAGGGAAGCCTGTATGAGTACAGTCTTCTAGCAGCATTGGGCGTGTGACACATGGACAGAGAGTCGGCTTGTGGATAGGCTAGCATGGTAGAGGCTGTAGGATGTAGATAGGGCGGTCACATCGCAAGTAGAGCTACTACGTTCTCGTTTCGATGATCGGAGGTGGATGACGGGCTTCCTCTACCAAGAGACTACGGTGTATTGTTTGCTCCTAATTGGTGTGCATTCCACTTTGATTTTCTGCTTTCAACTCGGCTAAGTCATGTTTGGTCTTCCGTGAGATTTCACAATCTGGCTCATCGGTGTTCTCAATGCATGGCCCCTCGTACCCTTTCTTTTTTTGAAACAAAAGCATACCTTATTTTTTTTAGTTATTTGTTTACACAAAATTGAAAAACATACCTTTGCCTTCTTCAGCTTGGGGAAAACCTTATCCACATAGTACTCTGGAGAACTCTTCCGGGGCGGATACAAATGTGGAAACATTTTGTTGTTCTGAAGCAGCGTCGGTGGCAGCTCATGGATGACAGGCACGTCTCCCGCCAGCGTTGAGATAAAATGATCCTCGTCAAAAATATCACTGAAATTGCTGAAAATTTGTGAAGAAACAAACCACCGTGAAGACAATTGATCAATCAGCCAACTTGCCACAGCTTTTTGTTTTTGGCAAACAAGTCCTTATGGTCCTGGCTCCATATCCATTCTGGGGAGCATCAATCCGGTTCCTATTCCCCCAGCAAGTCAGAATAACAGTATTACAGCATTGCACACACACACACACACCCTTCCGTCTGACCAAAGGGTCCCTGAGCAGCATTGACTACTCCATTTTACTGGAGGATTGACTGCCAGATTGCCTTTCCCTGTAGTCCCTCTCAGGCTCCTCTGCGGAGGCCTGTCAGCTAAACATTAATGCAAGGAAAACAGAAATCAGCAAATGACGTAGCGCTGAACCGCCTTATGTGGCTCTGAAGTCTTGTTGTTCAGACCGGAGAAAGCTTCTTGACCCCTGGGGAGTGGTAGAGTTATGCCAGTCTTTTCATCTGATATGAAGTCCCTGAATCTCAGCTATCTTTCCTTGAACCAACCATACCCTCTTGAACTTGGTTGTCAGCTCTCGCTGCTTCTCCGGATTCTGCTGAATTTGGAGATTGACCTTCTTCCATTGACAAAAGATCTCCATTTCCATTAATAGTCTCGTCCTTGGCCATACCTCTTCAGTCGAGTTGCTGCACTTGACTAACGTCCTGTTGCGAGGTGCTAGCGCGTGCTGTCGTGCAGGGAGCAGGGCGCTGCTGAGGGCAGCGCCATAGCCCAGCCTCCATAGCTGGTTGGGCTTGGACTACAGTGAGGCGCAGGGGTGGTCTTCGGGTGTTCAGGGGGAAGATGTGGGTGTAAGACGAGGGAGAGGGAGAAGGATGATGATGATGATGATGATGATGTGAGGGCACATACCTGGTATTGGCGATGGTCTGCTACGGGAGACATCTCCAAGTACTTTGTGGGCTGCTGACGTCAACAGTTGCATCGTCAATTAGTAGGCAGACTGTAGCTGTATAGTGAGTAGGCTGGGCGCCGAGCGCCAAGTAGGAGATAGGGCCTGAACACTCATGTTGGTGGTGGCGAGAGCCAGTTCCCATTGACATTGGTTTTCAGTGTTACAATTTTTCATTGGTATTATATTGGTGCATTTCTGCTTTCTGGATACAGTGATACTATCTGGCCTTCAATGTGATTGTGTATGCTGGTCATTCTCATCTCGCTATTGCTCATTTTCCTTGCAACTGGGCGCATTGACTTGTATTTCCGCCGTGGAATCTCAAAGATTGGTTCCATTCCCTGTCCTAGCATCTTATTCCATCTACCTTTGATTACCGGTTCCGGGTCCTTGGTTTTTAGCAGCATCCTGTATCACATTTTGACCATGTATTGTGTTATGCGAGGGTCCTTGGTCTTTAGCAGCATCCGGTATCACATTTTGACCATGTATTGTGTTATGTGAGTGGAAGTCTTGTAGAATCTATATTAGGGTAAAATTCCAGGTCGTGGATTGTTGTGCGTATTTGGAAGATAGTTTTCAACCAGCAGCCTAATACTCTTATTTTCCGGAGCGTGAAAAAATTCAGGGTTGACCTATGGAAATTCGCGAAAGTTCCAGGCCTTGACCTTCGAAAGCAGACAGGCCGTAGGGATGTGGTGCCAGAACCAGTCAGGTCCCAAGAAACAGAGGCTGGCATGAGTTGAAGTGCAATCCAAGACTACAAAAGGACTGGCCATCCTCCCATTCGCGGAGATGGCTCATTCGCAAGGAGTGTGGATGTGCTGGTGCACTTGTGCGCTGTAGTGAGGGGCAGAGCGCTGAAGCCAGAGTGCTGCACTGAGAGAGAGAGAGAGAGAGAGAGAGAGAGAGAGAGAGAGAGAGAGAGAGAGAGAGAGAGA